ATATGAAACAAATGGATACGTGTGTAATCTACCTTATGACAAGGCCGACTCTGTGAGTAAAACTTTTCCTGTCACACCCTGGGTAGCTAGAAGGGTTATACAGGTGAGTGGAAGGGTAAGTGAACTCATATATCTCCTAAGGTTCACTTGTTATGTTTGTTGTACTGATAACAGTTTCACTCTTCACCTTACCATCTCTCTCTCCTTCGGTACCTCCAAAGAAAAAAATTTATTAGCAAAATATTTTGCTGTATTTCAAACTGAATTTAAATTGATTGAAATGACTTTTTTTTTATCAGTAAAAACGCTACAAAAACGTCCATATTTGATAAATCTGTCCACACAATGTAATTCTCTTCTTTTTTTAAAAATTCTTTCAAAAATAAAATATTTTTTTCTGAAACTTTTTTGAGGAAGATTAATTTAAAGTTGAATTAATCTGATCTGAAACCAATACGAGTATCTGTATAAGTTTTATTTACTTTTAGTTAAAAATAAAGCAGAAAAGCAATTTTTTTAACACATAGGTGGCTGTTTTTATAAGGTGTTAACAACTCTTTCGATAAACTTATATTTGGGATTTTTTTCTAAGGAGGACATAACTGTATAACGTGATTGCCTTTTTCATATAATTTTTTTAACTGATCAGAAAACTTTAAAATTTTAAATATTCTAAGTAATCTAATATTTTATTGAATTTTTGGTTACTTTGGTTTCATAGTCTAACTTACGAAAACGCATGTTGAGGAAATGTTTGAATATTACCAATAAATTTTAAATTATAATTAACGCTCTTATTTTCTGATAAAGTCGTGTTTGGACATCTGTATTTACAACACTCGACATGTTTATATGCAAAATTCAAAATTCTTTTTAAAATATTGGGGTCTTTGAATTGTAGTGAGGTTTACCATTTTATGATTATTAATGTAATAATAACATCACTTGACCGCTACAAAGTAATACAGAATTTTATAAGTTTTTCAATTATTTTAATTAAAATTTAAAAGAAATGAAAATAATACTTGTAAAATTCATTATTCATCCAATTTTTTTCTTAAGATATTAGTGTTCATAATGTATATTTATACATGATAGCAATTAAAAGCTTTTCGAGGTAAATAAAGTGTTGGTTTTATTGCATTTTGTATTTTACGATTTAAAGCACCTTTTGTGTAACTGGGGTCCCTGTTTGACTAAAAAAAATAACAAAAAAAAACATGATTTAAATTCTCCGAGGAATTGTCTTTAAAACTAATATAAACATTAAGGCATGCAAAAAGAATTTCTCAAAATTTCATAAAATTAAGTGAGATGCTAACAGATGTGAAAAAGGAAAAAAAAAAGATTTTCCAAATAAGAAACATTTAAAAAATAATACTAATTTAAGGTCACCCGCTGACGCAAGAAAAATAACATTTTTAACCAAAATTTCGAAGGTTCTAAACAGGGTAAAAATATAATTTAATAATTAAAAGCATCATACAGCCTTTCCTGCTAATAACCGAAAGATTTTGACAATAAAATTTTGTTTTTAAGTTTCAGACTTTTTTTTCATCATGGATGCTCTTCTTTAGACATACCTATACAAGAGTCAGGACTTGACCAACAAATTTTTGAAAGAGCAGGAGCATATATAATCGAGAAATCCAAAGTAATGGTGAATAGCAGAAACAGTAACACACGTGTCAACATTACCATGAATGGTAATTCATTGGAGGAAGTGTCCAGTTTTAAATACTTAGAAGCAATCTTGTCTAAAGATGGTATCTGCAACTCAGAAATGTGCACATGAATTTCCGCTGCCATGACAACGATGGCCAAATTGACAAGAATATGGAGGAGCAAAATCAGCTTTCAAACAAAGTACAGACTTACAAATCGCTGGTAGTCTCCATTCTTCTATGTGGATGTGAAACGTGGGCATTATTGGCACAAGCAGAGAGAAAGATTCAAGAGTTTGAGAAGAAATGTACCAGAAAATTTGGCATTTTCTGTTGGAAACAAAAAACCAATGAATTTGTGCAGAAAAGGGTGGAAAGTTTTGTGGGGCAATTCTTGCCACTGTCAAATGGAGAAAAATGGCGTGGTTTGGACACATTACAAGGCACGACAGTCTGTGCAAGACCATCATGCAAGGCACTGTTAAAGGTAGACGTAGGAGAGGGCACCAACGCGAAAACTGGTTGGACAATGTCAAACAATAAACAGGTATGACTATACCAGAATTGGTGATGGCTGCCGTTGTTAGACCGTTGTAGAAAAGAGTGTGGCTTCTGCATTCGGATCTGCACTACGATTACAAGGGGATGATGATAATGATACAATGGTCAACTGAAAAGTTCACAAGTTGGCCAAGATATAAATATAAGTAGACATAAGTTAGTAGACTAAAAGACGTGCAAGTGTTCTAGAATACAAAAACCTGCATAGTCTTCCAACTTGTGTGTTTACTTAGATTTATATCTTGGTTAGTCTGTGAACTTTCCAGTTGACCCTCGTATATTTACAATCCTTATTTAAAACCACGGAAATATTTGTTTTAAAAAGTATTTTAGTTTATTTGTCTTGTTTTCTTACAAGTATTTTTATTAATGGTATATAAAATCCTAGATTATTGTATTTCGGGAAGACACAGGAGAAAACAAAGTCTGACCACGATTCAAAATTTTTCTCTGACGATAATCAAAGTGTCTGAAAGTCTTTGTCGAAACAATTCTAGGAAATATACGTGCCTATAATTTTGAGCCACCGTGTATGAAAGCGAGTATGAACAAGGGGACTTGCCTAAAAAAAAAAAAAACAAAAGAAATATTTCCTTAGTCAGAAAGGCAAAAAGAAAGTTTGCTGCCAGAACTATAGTTGTTTCCTTGTTATCGAGTTTGATAATCACAAGGTATCACTGTAAGACTTAGATTTAAACGAGGGGTCACCAAACTTTTTTCACAGATGGCCAGATAACTAAGAGAATGATAAGCACGGGCCGGATAACCATTTTTTTCTCAATACAATATACACTGAATGCACAAAAAATAAAAACAATAAATATATTTATTTACCAAAAAGCAATCAAAAAAGACGACATTAGCAATAAAATAGTTATATCACACCCAACGCGAACATATCACAAAGTGGAAAAAAAGGTTAGTGAGATTTGTGAAACTGCCGTTTACCTTTTAAGATATAATCAATTATTTGCTTTGGAATTGCTGCATCCAATCAAGAGAATGGCTTTCAATCCTTCATCAGTCATCCTCGTTACATGAGCTGACTTTACATACTGCATTTTTGAAAATGTTTGCTTACAGACATAAGTTGTTCCAAACAAACACTGTTTTCACTAAAATTTTATTACTGTCAGATGCAAAATCAGATTGGCCAAATTTTGGCATTTTTACTTACATTTTTAATTTTTTTCTACAGGGATAAGATATTGTCATAGTATAGTTTTGGTTAGATTTAGCACTAGTAATTTTGAAAAATGTAATGTTTTAAACGATATATACAGATGTGTGTGTGTGATTGTGTGTGTGTATATATATATATATATATATATATATATATGTGTGTGTGTAAATAGATATCTGTGTGTATATGTGTGCGCGTGTGTATATATAAGTGTGTGTGTATATGAATGCGTGTTTATATATGTGACTGTGCTTTTTATATATATATATATATATATATGTTTGTGTACGTGTATGCGTGTGTGTATATAAATGTGTGTATGCATGTGTATATATATATATATGAAGTTTATGTGTGTGTAGCGTGTATATATGTATCTAGTATGTATGCGTATGTATGTGTGTAGTCTGTGTGTATATATATATATATATATACGTGTAGTGTGTGTGTATATAGATATACATGTGTGTGTGTGTGTATATATATATATATATATATATATATATATATATATATATATACGTGCGCGTGTTTCTGTGTACATATGTCTGTGTGGGTGTATATATAAATATAATCGTGTTTGTGTGTACATAAGCATGTTTATGTATATATATGTGTGTGCATGTGTGTGTGTGTGTATATATATATATATATATATATATATATATATATATATGTTTTGTGTGTGTGTATATGTGTCGGGTATCACAGCAAAATTGTCCACTTGTTAGATTTAGCTTTGAACCGTTGTATCTTAGAAATGATTAAAGATATCTTACTGGAATTCTCCAAGGTTTTTGTGACACTATTGGACTCTACTTTGAACAATAAGTATGTATTTAGCTCTAAGCTGAAATGATAATCCCTCCTGTATGTGTATATATATCTATCTATCTATCTATCTATCTATCTATCTATCTATCTATCTATATATATATATATATATATATATATGTGTGTGTGTGTGTGTTTGTGTATATTAATAATGAAATTATTGGTAATCCGCATGGAATTTCCCAAAGCATATAGATCCGTCGAGAGCTCTAGAGCAAAAATCATTATATAATGACAAACACTTAAAAAAACCATAGTTGATATTTTATTTCATTGAAGCCGATAAAACATGGCTTCAAATCCTCAGACCTGTAAACCAAAAATCTATATATGACTCGATCAATAAAACCTTTATTTGTTTGACGAAGTTCTTTCGAGGTACGAAACGCGTAAGGTAGACGTTTTCCGTTTTTGTCATTTATTTACACACACACACATATACTGACTGATTGATTATGATATAGTCAGTGAAAGGTTGCGACTGACTAAAAAAAAAAAAAAACTAGCTGAGGTTTTTCTGATATTTCAGTTTTGAGATTTCGACTATAGCTTCATCACCTTTCAAACTTTACCAAAAAGTACAAATTTCTCAAAGGTATCTAATTGGTAAGCATAAGATAGAAATGTGTACATTACAATCTGATCTACTCTCCCTTGCTCTTCCCCTAAAAGGTTTCAATATTGCTATATGTAGATGTTTAGGAATACATTAAAGAATTATACCGAGGTTTGCTTATAAAGAGATTTGTCTTTGGCTAATGTGTCATCTATGTGGTCTTGTTTGTCAACCCAACCTCATCCCTGAGACTTGTCATTTTCTCTGTATCTGTGGTCAAACCACACGATCACGCTCTTTGTCAAATGCAAAGCATTTTGAACACTCGCGCAAATATGTGGAGAAAAGGCAAAAGTAAATATACCGCCTCACTTTCAAATAAGAGCCTTTCTTTAATGTTCTATAGAGATATGGTAAAAGTAAATAGACACGTCTATTTTAAAACAAGTGCTTTTAGTAATGATCTACTGATACATGACAAAAGTAAATAGACACGTCCATTTTAAAACAAGTGCTTTTAGTAATGATCTACTGATACATGACAAAAGTAAATAGACACTACTGTTTTCAAGAAAGAGAATTTAGTAATGATCTCCAGAGAAATGACAAAAGAAAATAGATACCACTATTTTAAAGAAAGGGCTTTTAGTAAAGATCTACGTCGGTGGGACGAAATTACATAGACACTACTATTTAAAAAAGACTTTTGGTAATGATCTACACGTACATAACGAAAATAAACACCTCTATTTTCAAACCCGTACCCTTATTCAGAATTTTCTAAGTATATGACAAATCCAGACACGCCTAATTCCCAACTATACAATATCTTGTGTTCTAATCTTTGTTGTTTGTTACTCTCATAATGTTCCAGCCTTTTTCAGGTGTCTGTAGATCCAGGTGACTTAACTAGACTCATTATTTAATGTACATTGATTGCTCAAGTTCACTTGCACAAATCTACAGATATATCATCTTGTTCTTTTTTTTTTTTAGTATTGCTCATTTGTTTATAGTCCTGTTTAGTCAGTTAGTGTTAGTCTATCGTTATCATGCCAGTGATTAAATTTACAAGCATTATATTTAATTCTCCAGACGATGGAAGTCATTGATAACGAAAAATAAATGAAAAACGGGGCAAGTAACATGAGTAATGTTGTGCTTTGCCAAAAATTGTTGCACCAGCTATAGTCACTGATGGAACCTCTGTGTCGAGGTTAGACGACCACACTCTACACACTTTCATTCCAAGCACTGGTATAAACGTGGGAAGCGAGCGAGAACTTTTTTTTTTAACTTAGTTTGCATGCGAGGCAGAATTCGAGGTATTTCTATGCTAAACGGATTCATTCTGCATACTTTAGCTCCGTTGGCATAACAACAGTTGATCAGACCATATATATATATATATATATATATATATATATATTGTAATGGAATGTCCCACACTCCCTATGTGGACTGACTATATCAGTAGATATATATAGTAAGCATAAGATATACCTATCGGACTTTGCTTCGGGAATTACTAACCTGCTAACCGATTCCCAGTTTTTCAGTAGTGTATTCTCTTTCACAATAAAACTCTTTTTATTTCATCTACGCCCGTGTTGCTGTTCCTTTCAATCGAGTACCACCTTTGTCTGTTTGCAATCTCTTTAAGGATACAACATATATAAACTAGAGTTTCAAATAGATGATGCGGTAGAAATAGAAGTGGTGACTAAAAACTTTTTAAAAATAATTTTTGGTAAAGAAACGCCTTTTTCTTAGAATGCCTGCAGTCTAAGAGGTCGAAAGAACTTTATTGAATATTTAATTAAAGACGTTGGTTGGAATCAGGATGTTCCGGGTGGAATTTTATCCACAAGAGAATAATCATTTTCGCCCATGTATTTGAAACTCAAATGTATGTACATATTATCCCTTTTTCATTTCACACATTAATATATATGAATTTTGGAAATGTGCTGATCATTTTCAAAAAGTTCTGAAACCATTTCTCAATATACATATTTCTTATTGATATAAATGTTATTTTCATGGGTTCATTTGTTTGATACCTATCGAGGGGTACATTTTCTGTAATAGAACTTTCGATAGTCTAGGCTGGTAAACATCAACTTCGTTATTTATAAATAAACAGGGATGTCTAATTAAACACGTGTTCCTACTAAAATCACATTTATATTGATACAGATTTGTTATGGTAATTTACCCATGCACGCATGGACTCTCCCAGTTATAAATAGGAGCAGGTACTGCCTTTTGGAAGGTGAAGTTTTCAGAAGTCAGCTCTGACAGTCGGACCGAACATTCTTGCTGTAACACTCTCGTTTGTATGTTTGTATTACTGTTTCTGTTAATATATTTGTTTAACTCAATTCCTCTCTTGTGTCTTTATTTCTGGCCCTAACAAGGTCACAACAAGATTATAGTCAGAAAATAAACTTGAGTGGTAAAACTGATCATCACCATGGAATGCTCATTCCTATGTCTGCACTGTCTGTACCTACAAATTCTGTCTCCGATATCGAGCACTCTTCCCCCATAAATATACCACATTTTGAACAATACGCATATACATATTTTAATAATTTCTGATAAATAGATACGAAAAAATCCATACGTGTATAATCGACCTTATTCGCTTTTGTCAAGATCGACTCTGTGAGTAAACCTTTTTTGTTGACACACCTTGTATAGCTAGAACGGTTACATGGGAAAGTGGAAGGGAACTCATGCCTCTCCTCTGGTTCATTAATTCCGTTTTCTGTACTGATAATAGTAATAGTTCCACCCTCACACTCCAATCTCTCTATATATATATATATATATATATATATATATATATATATATATATAAAGAACGTGTGTATGTTTGTAGGATATATAATATTATCCGAAGCAAAAGTGAATAGTCGCATTGAGATAAGTGAGTTGGTTGAAATACTTCTTTGCACTTAGTGTTTCGCCGGTTAGAAGAAGCTCAAAGTGAATTATCCCCTTTGTAGTGTCACCAAACGGACAGCAAAACCTTCATCGTATGGCAAGCCTGCGTTAATCACGGGTTATTGATATTCACAAGCTAGTTACCAGCTCCATTTGCGCCAAATGTTATCATAAATGATCCATTTTTTCATCGCCTGTGACAATTCTGTCCAAGAAGGGCTTCTTCCCGTGATGTAATAGCAAAGAAATCACTGCAGAAACACGATCGAGATTTTTCTGTTCCGTCAGAGTATGTGGTACCCATGTGTTGAGTTTGGAAACGAACACAGGTCGCTACAAATAGCGAAAGGCAGTTGTGATATCGATTTTCAAACTCTTAGCAGTCTCTTCCATCGAAATCTTCGGTTTATTCTTCACGATGGCAAGCAGGACGTCTTCTTCGATGTCTGAAGGCCGCCCGGTGCGTGGTTGATCGTTTAAGTTAAAACCACACTGACAGAATCTGCTAAACTACTTTTTGACCGTCTGAAGAGCTGTATCATGATTCAAATAAACCTTCTGATTTTTTTTTGTCGCAGTTCCGACGCTTATTGCTTTCCGAAATTCATAGGGCATAATATAGCGAAAGTGTAATTTTTCATCTTCCATCTTTAAGGGATTCAACAAATTGTGACTCGCAACTGAATGATGCAAGGTTTCAATCTAGAAGACACCAGAAATCCTCACCAAAATAAACGCCAGTGTCAAATTGCGGCCATTTTATATTAACAATGAAAGTCGGCCACGAACATTTTGCAGTGATCTGATATTTTGTTTTATAATCCTTTCACCCCGAGCAAGGCGTTAATGCCACTAGGACGCGACGCTGGGTAGGGTATTACAGGGAGCGAAAATTGAAAGAAAATGAGAAGACTGAGAATTGGGGAGGGTTGAGGAAAGGACAAAAAAAAAAAAAAAAAGGAACAGGGTTCAAGAAGACAGAAGATGGCGATTGACGTTGTAGTTATCAAGAAAACAAGAAATCGGAAGCGAGTTTCACTGGTGGGACGTGCGAGAAAAGAAACTGTTAGTGTATGTATATATATATATATATATATATATATATATATATATATATATATATATATATCTATATTCAACGCATTCAAGTCTAAAAACTGCACCGTACCTGGAAGACAAGTTAGACGTTTAAATTTCCCCATGGCAATATAGGCTACTTCACAAAGCGTCTGAATTTCTTTCTAAATGCTAAGATGAGAATAAGCACATGTTATTCTATTTACTTTTAATTAAGTATTTATAGAATCGTCCGTGATGTGTTGCTTTAGAAACCAATCCTAGAGGTATTCTCCGAGCCAGAAGATCTCTCAGCGTGAAAATAACATTTTCGCTTCTTCATTAATTCTTTTAATTCGTTTTTTCCCTGATATATCTAAAATGTAAAACATTGCTGATAACAAAATGCTCTGTTCATTAAGGTTAACATTGCATTTAATAAATAGCATCTGGCCTGCTCCTGCCGCATTTAACCTTCTATGATGTGATGAGAGGATTGAATGCATTTGTATTTCAGCCGATCCGTTCTACAAACTTCTTTTGGTAGGTTATTTTTTAAGGAAAAAATGGCAATATTTACGCAAAACTTTAAGCAACATGAAGTGTGTGCTCAGTTGTCTGAACAACAACTTCTTTTATATACCGTGTCCTTTCAGAACGTTGGCGATCGTGACTCTCCGCAATTTGCTTTTATAGCTCTTAATAAATTTTGTCTTTATGCCATCTCCCCCAAACTTGCTCTGTATTCCATTCGCTAAAGATCACCAGGTAGATTGTGCATAGCTTTCCTCTGGCCCTCTTACCTTCAATCTGTCCTGTGAGTATCAAATTTTCCAATCCGTCTTTCCTCGTTATGTGCCCTAGAAATGTCAGCACTCTTTTACCTCTTTGAATAAAAATGCTTCTAACGTTTTTTTTTTTTTTTTTTTTTTTTTTTTTACAGTAATGCTCACTCTTTACAAGACCGGGGCCACTCAAGGTAGAGAGTATTGTTAGGAGGCCATTTGTGCGTATGAGTTTGGAAGATAACGATTAACCTCGCCTTGAACAGGTTAAGATTGTAGTAATTGAGGAAACATCCCGTTGGGAGTCGGTTTCACAGGGCAGTGGTTCACGGGTAGAAGCTGTTTGAGTGGAACATATTTCTCACTAATGGAATACAGAGGGAATGTGGGTGGGGTTTGATACTATGTAAGTGGCATGGCGTGTTCTCAAAATAAATAAATCAAGATGATTATAGATTGTGCTTGTTTTGAAGGCATGTACATTAAAGCATCTTCTAAGGTCATTGGTAGAATTCGAACCTGGGTTCACTAATTCTGTTTTCCACAGTGCTACCAGCTGTGTTAAATCGCACTTTAACACTCATACCTCCAAGAATAAAACACACACACACACACATACACAGAGAGACCCTTCCATTTGTTTACAAATACATGCATAGTTTTACACCCACATACACCTGAGCACATTTGAAAATATTCACGCACATTAATGCTCAGTTGCTAAGAGCATTAATTTCTTAGTTTTGATTTTGCCCTGAAAATGATTTTGACAGCTTGTTATGGCGAGTAAACCCATTGGACATAAGTCTTCCGCAATAGAATTGGCCCCTTGATCCCTCCCTTTCTTCTTCATGTCATTCACATTTCTTTCTTTCTATTGTTCTTCTGTTCTGCTTTCATCCCTTCTTTCCGTTCTTCTCTTGCTTTTTTCTCTTCTTCCGACCTTTTACCCTTTTTCTTTCTTTCTTTCTTGTCTTTATTCTTTCCATCTTTGCTTCTTTGTCTTTTTTGTTGTTCTTTCATTTTTTTAAATATTAATTTTTTTTTTAAACTGCTGATCTTTCCATCCTTCCTTTTCCCTCTTTTTTTTCCTTCTGCTCTGCTTTCATCACTTCTTTCCGTTTTTCTCTTTTTTTTTTTCTCTGCTTCTAACCTTTTCCTTTCCTTGTCTTCATTTTTTCCGTTCTTTTATTTGTTCTTTTCTTCTGATTTTCCTTCCTTCATTGTTTTTTGTTCTTTTCCATCTTCTTTCCTGCATTCTTTCGTCGTTTTCATTTTTCCTTTCTTTCTTTTACCCTTGTTTTTGTTCTTTTATTCTTCTTCCTTTACTCTTCCTTTCATCTTTTCTTCCTTTTCGTTTTTCTTCTTTCCTTTCTTTCTTCTTACTTCCCGTTCTTCCTTACCTTTTCTTTCTTTAATTTTTTAAAATATTAATGTTTTTAAACCGCTGATCTTTCTATCTTTCATTTTCACTTCCTGACATCTTTCTTTCCCCGCTTTTTTTTTCCTTTTGTCTTTTTTCTTTTTCATGTTCTAAAACACTCACTTTCCTTTATTGCAAATATTTTCCTCTCTTTGTTTTTTTATTTTTCCTTATCCTTCCTTTTATTCTTTTTAGTATTTTTTTTAAAAAATCACTTTCTTTCATTTCTTTCCGCCTCACCTTCCCATTTTTCTGACCTTTCCCCTTTCCCCCCACCAGCTTTGTTGTAACCGAAAAAAGGTTACTGAATGAGGAATAACCAAAATGGTGGTTGGAAATAAAAAAGTAATCTTTATAACATCAACAAAATACAATACTCGCCAGCGGTGTGAAGTAGGTAAACAACTACTAGTGGTGGACTACTTAGTATATTACCCCCACTTACAATAGTGTTCATAGGTACTCTATATAACAAGGTTTCATACCCTTCTCTCCTTCCCTAGCTACCGAATTTTGTCTTTCATTCTCTTCTTTATCTTCTCCCAGTTTCAGCTATTCACAATCTACAATCTACATGGTCCCAGTTTCTCCTCTTTTCTTTGTTTTTGTTTTCTATTCTTCTCATCTTCAGCACACACTTGTTTTTCCTTTTCTTGCCTTCACTCGCCCTGTTTGTGTGCCTTCTCACCGTTTGTAGATGTGTGTGCAGATTTCATTTATACACCAAAATATTATGACCACCTATCTAATAAGGTGATGGTCCTCAATTTTATCACTCTTACCCAAATGTCATTGACTCTACAAGGTTTCTAAAAGTTTCCTCTGGGATCCAATGCCAGGATGTTAACATCATACCCTTCATTTACAGCAAGGTTCCACAGAAAAAAACTTGTTGGCCCTAACTCATTCCATATGTGCTTAATAGCATTATGATCTGTGGAACCTTTTGGCTAGGGAAAGACAAGTTTTGGTCATGTTTCTGAAACCCTTTCTGTACGCATCCTACTAAATTGCCATAATCTCTGACGAATCTGTAGTAAACACTACAAATCAGATGACCTAAAGGATCTATTCGAAAATACTAATCCAAGTAACATCCTAAATTTCATTAAAGAAATTAGGATCTCCAGAAAAAAAAATGCATTTTTGAAAAATGAATATTACCAGCAATATACATTTTTTGGAAAAAAATAAAAAAATATTACCAGCGATACATAACTGAAAGAAAATTATGACCAAAAATAGAATTTTTGAAGGAAAATTTTTTACCAGAAATACATTTAAAAATTATATTACCAACAATAAACATTTTGTCGGCATTAAATAACCCATTGAGATTGATATGCTGTAAAACCAAACCAAACCCTTTCTGTACAACTCAGACAATGTAGCAAGGTGCATTGTCCCGCTCAAAGATCCCACTGATATCATAGAAAACTGTTACGTAAAGAGATGTGCTTGCTCTTTAATGATGTTGAAGAAAGTGGTACACAAAATTATGCTTTCTACATGATATTATGTTGCCTAGTAAAATATTGCACAAATCATCTTGCTACCTCTACTCTTTTGTTGTGCCTAGTATCATTATTGGTACCTACTCTGATATTCACATTTTTAAGTGAAAATATGACTCATCAAATCAGACACCATTTTACTATTAATGATATGTACAGTTCCGATGCTTGCAAACTTACTTTAGATGTTTTCAGCAAAATACATTGTTTAGCTTGATTGATTATCCTGTGGCTATGGGCACATGGTTGAGTGGGTAGAACGTTTGCATTCTGACCATGATGCCTGGGTTCAAATCTCACCATGGTCGATTTGTCAGGAAGGAGACTTCCTGATGTTATCGGACTGGGGGGTTCGATCCCAGCATGCGGCACCTTTGGAAATTGCCTGAAAACCATATCACAGGTTGGCCTAAGCCTTGTGAGTGAAACTGGGTAGATGGAACCCTTGGAGGCCATCAATAGCTGTGCTAGCACAAAGTCACAAGTCATTGTGACCGAGGGATTGAGCGTGCTGGCCTTGTTCAAACTGTTGATCACGCTAGATACCACGCTCTTTCCCAGAAACTGTAACTAAGGTCTGCTCAGTATAGTTGCTGTGGGTGTTGAACAAACACAGATGTGCCTGAGCAATAGGGATTGGCTAACCACCCTAGTAGGTGAGTATCCTCAAATACATAACATTATAGCTGCCCTATATAGGGTATTGTTAGTGTCCCTAGGGTAGTTAATGGGTAAGTTTTAGAATAAAATAAAATACCAGTGCTTCTAACTAATAGCTGATGTTAATAAGAGCCTCTTGCCAATAGACCTTTACCTGTGAAGAATATAAAATTTGCCTGATGATGTCATGAGGTCATGTGATCTGAAATAAATTAATTTTGATAAAAGTCGAAGTTCGCAGGTACGCGTGTTCGCACTTATATTTCTTCTTTTAAAAGGCATAGTTTCGATGATCCTGAAAGAAAAATTCTACTTTAAACAGACTTGCAGGTTTTAATTTTGTATACATATATATATATATATATATATATATATTGGAATATACTACTGAAACTCAACAAAGTCATTGCTAAATTCCAATAATAAATATTTATTCTGTAAACAGCCCCATATGTAGCAAGGATTCATGTATTCTGTGTTGTGAGACATTCCTTCATTCAAATTATTTGTAATTAGTGCCACAGTAGAACTTCAACTGATTTATATTTGATAGGAAGGCCTCTGTTCAATTCTTGTATTGATAAGTTTTTCTGTACAATACCTTTTTGGAGGTTGGTGATTTTTCCATCCTTGGAACAATGTCATTTGACATAACTGAACTTCAGCATGTCACATTTTGGGTCAAGCCGAAAACTTTTCAGCACCTCTGTACATTTATATATATATATATATATATATATATATATATATATATATATATGGTGTATTAAAGATGCTTTTACAAACTATAGGGGCAGGTTCATGACACCAAAACAAGGTAAAAATGTTCAATTAAAAACGTCCAAAAGGTCATTGTTGTACCTCAACACAGCAACTCATAAGAAATGTTAAAAATGTCTTCCACTTACTTTTACCCATGCATGCCTCTGTCAATTCATTGACCCTTTCAGAGACTTCCACATGGTGTTGAATGTTTTTACAGCCCCCCATGACATGTCGATGACGTGTCTCTGCATTATTAATATCTGCTGCATAAACCAATTGTTTTAGGTGGTCCTACAGATAGAAATCCAAAGGATTGAGGTCAAGAGAACATGCAGTCCATGGAATCAGTCCTTCCCTACCTTTCCATCTTTCATGGTAGATGTCAGCCAGTGCATTGCTAACAATGTGATTAAAATGTGCTGGAGCCTCATCATGCATGAATCACATGCATCTTCATATTAGCTGGGGTACATCCTCTAGCAGGTCTGGAAGTGTTTTTGAATAAAGTCCCTGTAGAGAGATCCTGTAAGATGTGCTGGGAGAACATATGGACCTACCAGATAGTCATCTACAATTCCAACCCATACATTAATTGTAAACTGATGCTAGTGTCTAGCCTCTATTGTGGAATGAGGATTCAGATCTGGTCATAAATGTTGGTTGTGTAAATTTGTTATTCCATTTCTTCCAAATGTTGCCTCATCCATAAACAAGACTGAAGAGACAAATAATGGATTGGCAGTTAGTAGAATCATTGGCAAATGTCCTCCCGTGGTGAGTGATCAGAGCCCGAAAGACACTGCATGCATTGCAAATGATATGGATATAGTATCTGCTCTTGAAATATCCTTCATGTAGTACTATGAGATGTATAACATGCTAGGGCTATTTGATGTGTGCTGATACCTAGAATGTGTTCTTCATGACAGGTGTATGGGCGGGTTTCAGTTTTCCTTGATCCATAGTTTGTGGTGCCATGGATTCTGCCTCAGCAGCACAACAATAAAAAGCAGCAAAGGTTGGATGACTTTAGTCTGGTAATGCAATCTGATACAGCCATGCAACCTCATATCCATTACTATTCACATAGACGTATAAAAAAATCATATCTGCCTGTTCACGATATGAATATCCTGCCATTGTTAAACAGAACACTTCTCAGTTAACTGACTATTACACACATTGAAGACAGACTAGCCACCATTGATTACTCTTCCATTGTTTTTGCACCTTAATAATGTCTATTTTTTTTCTTACTCTTTCACACTCTTGTCTTGGGTATGACAATAAACTACATCTGGCAGCAAGGCCTCTGATTGGAAGATTGTATGTTTTGAGGAGCATGAAACCACCTCTTAAATGCTGTTGTTCCCATGCCAACCCTGACCTGGGCAGGGAGGGGGGTGCATTAAACAAACCAATCACTCAGTCTTTCATACTCAGTAACCCCTTGCATCTTAGTGGCTTTACTTCTTTGCATGGGGTGAAATGATTAATAAAAGAGCAAATAAAAAAAAAAGCAACACAAAACTGAATAAGACTGGTGACGATTAACTGATATGACTTATCTCCCATGACTGAAATGAGTTACCTCCCCTAAGCATGGAAAGTGGTATGTGAGTAATGTACTCACAAGTGTCTGGTTAAAAATTCCAACAACAAAAGATGCCGGAAGAAGGCCAAAGTAGAGAACATCCAAAATGTTATGAATATAACAAACAAGTTGGATATAAAAAAAAAGCAAGTATTAATGATAATTACTTATCTCAAAAATCATCACATAAATTATTCATTCTCACATATGTTTATTCTAGTGTCTAGTTCCCTGATACCACTTAAAACCAGGTATAATTTTTTGTGGTTTTCTTTTATATTTTCTTATCGAAATTGCAAGTATTTTGCCAAGAAAAATAGCATCTGCAGATTGTGGATTTATTGCAATGGCAGAAAAGCATCAGTATTTTCCCCAAATCTTGAATGACTAATTACTTTTTCTCAGAGATGCATTTCTCATCTTGTCATTGTTAGGTTTTCCGAGTACACTATCTTGAAATAGCTGGATTCTTTTCCTATCTCTTACTTTTTCCCTTGCATTGCAAAATATAAAAATCCAATTCATGTTTCCTTTCTTTCTTTATTTTTATTTTTAAAATTTTTATTTTTCTTATTCTAGAATTTTTTTTAAATATTAGAATCTCTCACAAGTATTTTTTATTATTTTTAATCACTAGGAAACCTACCCAGAGTTCTTGTATGCTTTTTGAAGTTTGCTTAATGTTTTACATGTTTTTATATTTCATGAACTAAGCTCTTTAGAATATCTTTGAGGGATGGTGGCCGAGTTCTT